GGCACTCACACCTGGCACCCCCACCCCACGGGGCACTCACACCTGGCACCCCCACCCACGGGGCACTCATCACACCTGTTGCCCCCCACCTTGCAGGGCATTCAGCACACCTGGCACCCCCCACTCACCCCACGGGGCACTCACTGCACCCCCGCCCCGCCGGGCACTCACCGCACCTGGTGCCCCCCCACCCCTGTAAGGCACTCTCACCTGGCTCCCCACCCCGCGGGGCACTCACCACACCTGGCCCCCCCGCCCCGCCGGGCACTCACCACACCGAACCAGCGAGTGACGTGATCCACCAGCCAGTAGATGGGCTCGAAGAGGGAGTCCAGCAGCACGTCGCTGTTGGTGAAGGAGTTGTAGAGCAGGGAGCGCAGGCAGAGGTGCCCGTAGCGCCACAGCTGCTGCGCCCGCCAGGCCAGCCTGAACCTGCGCCGCCGGCCCACGCGCAGGCACTTCACACAGAGCCGCATCACCGCTGCGAACGCCCGCTGGCGGCTCCTCATCCCTGCCACACACAGCCTGCGGGAGCAGAGCCCGGCTCAGAGCCCTCACGGGGAGCGCCAGGGACGTGCCTGCCTTCGCCCTGCTGGCAGCGCTCGCTGGCATGCCCAGCCCAGCCCCCGGGTGGGGGAAGCAGAGCCCGGCAAGGGGAGTGAGCCCAGCTCCTGGGTAACTCCTGCAGCTCCCCGCCCCCCATCCCGGCTCAGGTGTTCACTGGCCCCAGCTCGCCTTTCCCACTCCAGACGCAGAAGAAACCAGAGACGGCGCTGAGGGCAGCACGGCTGGGCTGGCTCCAGGCTGCGAGTTCAGACCCTGCCAGCTCCTCCAGAGAGCCCCCGCCTGGAACCGGGGACCCCAGAGGGGTTAAAAACCCACACCGCCATCTCCCACCCCAGCAGAGACAGCAGCCTCCCTCCTGGGCCTGAACCTAGCACTGGGGGCTATTTCCCTCTCGCCCAAATGCTCACAGCCCCCGTCTGGGCGAGCCCCACAAGTTATCCACCCCCCTCAGTCCAATTCATCTCGGGCAAGCCTGGGAGACAAGGCTGGATTGATTTCCCATTGCCCAGACCCTGGGCGGAGGCCCCCGGACGAGCTGGCCAGTGGGTGCAGCTGGCATTGGGCGTGGGGTGAATGGGGTGGGGCCCTGCCAGGCTGGGGTGCCCTGGCCTGGAGAGTCAGCTGGGAACCTGAGCCAGTCCCACACCAGAGCAAACAGATTCACCTCCTTGGGGCATGCCACAGCACCTCCAGCACTGACTAGGAGAGGCTGCCCCAGGACCCCGCGCCCGGGGCTCAGGCACAGAGCAGGCTGCAGCACACTGGGGCTGCCAGGACAGGGCAGCACGAGCCGGGGCCCTGGAGCCTGTCTCCCAGCCTAGCTAGCGCCCGTCTCTGGGGAGGAATCATGCCGAGCAGCGCCTCGGCCCAGCCTCTCTCAGACCCGTCTCCTGTCTCTGCCAGCACTTAGCCTCCCCCACTCTGTGCCCATTTCATCCTCGATTCCTCCAGTCCCCCCATCCTTCTTGTTGCCCTTCTCTGGGCTCCCCCCATTCATCCCCCGTGCTCTGATATGGGGCTGGGGGTTCTCCCGCCGCGATCTCTTGGCTGTGATGTTCAGCTCTGCAGAATGTTTTACCTGGGAAAGGCTCTGACAGGTGAAGGGCACCGCAGCATGTTCATGACTTAGCCCTGCACAGCCCGCAGGGGTCTTTTGAGTGTGTCCCACTGAAAACGGGGGCGGTTTATTTAGGGAAATACTGTGGTGAATTAAAGTGCATGAACTGAGAAGCAGACGGGGGCAGCCAGGGGGGCATGCGGCACACCCTGCCCACTGAGCTGGCATCTCCTCCAGGCCACGGGGCACAGACTAAGGGTATTTCGGTGCCCGTCTTCGCCCCCGGTAGACAGAGGCTTGGAACAGGGGGACTCCCACAGGCAGGGGGATCTGCCCAGCATATGGGAGAGACAGGCTGGTCCTCGCTTCTGCCCTGGGCTGGGCCCCATCCCCTACGTGCCCAACCACCAGGGCAGCAGGCCCAGGGAAAGTGCAGGGGGGGGGTCTCACACCAGGCTGTTCCGACGCGCCCATCACCATGGAACCTGGGCTCCGTGGCTCCCGCCTGGCAGGCGGCTCTGACGGGTGCGGCACCCCAGGGTGCCCACTGCGGTGCTTGACTGAACCGTGTGCTCGGGGCCTCGCCACCCCCGACAGGGCGTGCGTGACACTGACACACGGACTGGGGGAGATCCTGCGGGGGGGCGGAGTCGGGGGCCCAACCCCCAGGATGGTGACAGGGGGGTACACAGGGGGCGCCACCACGCAGGGGGGCAGGAGAGAGAGACACCCTCAGACACCCCGCCCCTCACCCTCAGACACCCCGCCCCTCCCCCTCTGAGACACCCCCAGACATCCCGCCCCTCCCCCGCTGACACCCCCTGCCCAGAGCCCCCGCCCCTCCCCCGCTGACACCCCCCCCGCCCCTCACCCTCAGA